GTTGTTGTCACGGTATTGTGGGTTAGTTGTGAACTGTTGTTGTCACGGTATTGTGGGTTAGTTGTGAACTGCTGTTGTCACGGTATTGTGGGTTAGTTGTGAATTGTTGTTGTCACGGTATTGTGGGTTAGTTGTGAACTGTTGTTGTCACGGTATTGTGGGTTAGTTGTGAATTGTTGTTGTCACGGTATTGTTGGTTAGTTGTGAATTGTTGTTGTCACGGTATTGTGGATTAGTTGTGAATTGTTGTTGTCACGTTATTGTGGGTTAGTTGTGAACTGTTGTTGTCACGGTATTGTGGGTTAGTTGTGAACTGTTGTTGTCACGGTATTGTGGGTTAGTTTGTGAATTGTTGTTGTCACGTTATTGTGGGTTAGTTGTGAACTGTTGTTGTCACGGTATTGTGGGTTAGTTGTGAATTGTTGTTGTCACGGTATTGTGGGTTAGTTGTGAACTGTTGTTGTCACGGTATTGTGGGTTAGTTTGTGAACTGTTGTTGTCACGGTATTGTGGGTTAGTTGTGAACTGTTGTTGTCACGGTATTGTGGGTTAGTTGTGAACTGTTGTTGTCACGGTATTGTGGGTTAGTTGTGAATTGTTGTTGTCACGGTATTGTTGGTTAGTTGTGAATTGTTGTTGTCACGGTATTGTGGATTAGTTGTGAATTGTTGTTGTCACGGTATTGTGGGTTAGTTGTGAATTGTTGTTGTCACGGTATTGTTGGTTAGTTGTGAATTGTTGTTGTCACGGTATTGTGGGTTAGTTGTGAATTGTTGTTGTCACGGTATTGTTGGTAGTTGTGAATTGTTGTTGTCACGGTATTGTGGATTAGTTGTGAATTGTTGTTGTCACGGTATTGTGGGTTAGTTGTGAATTGTTGTCATCTCCCAAGGTGCTACTACAGGTTCTATCATTGTCAAGTATGTCCTCGAAGGACATGGAAAATAATACATTTCCTATAGAGGTATGTTGGTTATATAACCATCCAGAGTGGGATGACCACACGTCATCCATCTTGACGGTGGGAATGACCCTGGGTCACCCATCCTGACGGTGGTCACCCACACTCCTCGTAGACACATCACAGCTTCACAGTCTCACAATTAACTAAGTTAACTAACAAATTTACAGGTGATGGACAGCTGAGTGAACACCGTGGCTTGTGATGGATGACCTTAGTCCTCTCACACAGCCACATGAGAAGTTCTTACACTAAACTTTCTCGTGAAGCTCAGTGGAGCTGGAACGTATTAGTGAGTTCTTGAAGGTCAGACGGCGGCCTAGGTGAGGCCTAGGTGAGGCCTAGGTGAGGCCTAGGTGAGGCCTTTTAAGTCTTCTTCTTACTTGTGCTCATGTACCTCTGTGTTCAAGACACTGGGGGTTCTGTATGAGGAACAAGTGTGAGTTTCCTTGATTGGTTTTTTGCTTCGGTGTCTCCTACAAGAGGCCGAAGTTTCTTCTGACTATTATGGAGTTTGAAATCAGCAAGAGGAGCACTTCTTGGTGTCCTTTAGGGCCTTCCTACAAGACGTGAAGGCTCCTGTGGAACACCTGTGACTCTCCAAGACTGAACCACCTCCAGGATCCTTCTACAAGACGTGAAGATTCTCACAAGATTTAGACTTGCTGTCGAGGATACAGATCTTGTTGAGAAGTTCCTTGGCTGTGTTGAGACTTAAAGACGTCTTCGAGGAGGACATCTTCTTTAGACGCTTCCGGTGAGCGGCCAGACGCAGACGTACCTGCAACACAAAAATCGCAACAATAATCAGACCAGGAAAGCCTTAACACGCGCCTCCAACAACATTTACGCATTATAAATAAAGTTACGGAGTAATGCGGATGTTTATATGGCTAAATAAACATTTGTGATGCCACATAAACATGTGTAATGATACTGGACAAGTCGGGAGGAAGATTTAGGTAATTGTGATGCAAGGGAAATTACGTTCAGTTTTGCACGATTTTTGCAACAGAAATGACAGAAGAGATAACTGGTCTTCGTTGTGTGTGATGGTACAGGGAGAAACACAGCAGAGATATTACGAAGATTAGAGGGAGAGGGAGAGAGAGACGTTATCTGGCATCTTAAGAAGAGACTACGGTATTCTCTGACGTCTTAAGAAAAGACTTGAGATTACAGTGTTTCCTGGCGTCTTAATAAGATATGTAAGTGGGAAACGGTACTGGTGTCTCACCTGCTTGACGATTCCCACCAGCAGTTCATCCACATTGTGCTGGATCCCACTTGATGTCTCTATAAACTTGCTCTCGTGACTCCTGGCTAGAGACTTTCCCTCTGGAGAGACAGTGAGAGAGAGAGATATTTGCACCAGGCAAGATAAAGAGAAATTTCTCCTATCTTACATTCCTCCCTAATATCTCTTTACAATCCTGGTACACAAGACCAACAATAGAAGGAATTAGACATGTACAACACCTGAGTATCTTTATTTGGTACGCAGGTGTTGCACGTGTGTTTAGTTTCCCTCAAGCAATAGTTTCAGTGAACACGATTCACTCACCATTGTTATTGACGATCCTTGAGCGGGCCAGGTCCACCTTGTTGCCCACGAGGATGACTGCCTTGTCTTTGGTGTAGTTCTCCCTCCAGAGGTAACTTAAGGTGTCTTCCGCTTTCTTGAAGGAACTCTTGTCAGTGGTGGAGTAGACGACCACACATGCGTGAGGGTCGTATGTTGAGAGACAGTTCTCCACCTGTGTTGCAGCGAGGAGGTACGTGGTAATGGGGATTCTGAGACAGTGTTAGTGAGACTGATGTTGTTGTTTGGTTAGCTGGTGGGTTAATGGGGTTTAAAGGATATCAATATATATATATATATATATATATATATATATATATATATATATATATATATATATAAATAAGGGGAGTTGAAAGAGCGCTGGGGAGAATGAAAGAAACTGTTGAACAGATGGAAAAATTGTGATAAAAATGGGAGAATATGATGGAAACAGAGACCATGAAAGTGAGAACTCGTTGGACGGTGATAACGAGGGTGAAGGTGAGAGAAGGTGTTAATGAGACACAGGACTTGGTAACACCTGTGTTAATTGCTCCTCACACACCTGTTAATTGCCCGTCACACACCTGTTAATTGCCCGTCACACACCTGTTAATTGCCCCTCACATACACACATGTTAATTGCTTCCTCACATATCTGCTAATTATCCCTCACACACGCATGTTAATTACCTCTCACACACCTGTTAATTGCTATTTACACACCTGTTAATTGCCATAGACAACAGAGAACGAAGGAACTGCCCATAACGCCTGATAACAGTGGGAAGTGAAAGAAATCTGAGATAAAGAAGAAATAAGGAGGAGAGAGAGAGGAGAGAGAGAAGAGAGAGAGAGAGAGAGAGAGAGAGAGAGAGAGAGAGAGAGAGAGAGAGAGAGAGAGAGAGAGAGAGAGAGAGAGAGAGAAGGAAATACTTTGCTAAATGAAGTAAATGAAGGAGGTGAATGAATGCAGAATTTAATAAACGAAGCAAATCTTTATATAAATGAAGCGAAAACACACACACACATACACACACACACACACACACAAACACACACACACACACACACACACACACCACACAACACAACACACACACACACACACACACACACACACACACACACACACACACACACACACACACACACACACACACACACACACACACACACACACACACACACACACACACACACACACAACACACACACACACACACACACACACACACAAACACACACACACACACATACTTACGGACATCTCATGTGCAGGATGGTCGATAAAGGTAACTTCACTCTCCTCACCGTCTAACAACACCGACACACTCTTCTCTCCAAACTCGTCATCTGTAGACACAAATTAGACGTCAATTAACCCTTCCTACCTCTTGTTACTACTACTAGTAGTAGTGATAGTAGACACCTACACTGTGTCACAATGTAACAGCAGTGTAACACTTATTGTAACACTTATTGTAACACTTATTGTAATATATTTTGGGTCAGACAAACATGTCTGAATGACAGATAATATATGCTGTTTTTCCTGTCTGTTTTATTTATGCATCTTCCATGAAGTGTGTGTGTGTGTGTATAGTCGGGTATTTGTGGCTGCAAGGGGGGCGGGGGTCGAGTCACAGCTCCTGGCCCGCTGAGTGTGTGTGATTGACTGACCTAGAGAAGCGTCGTAAGTATTAATGTATTCTGAGGTCATAAACTGGTTAACCAGGGAGGATTTGCCCACTCCTGTCTCCCCTAGTAGCACCACCTGTAGCACCACCACCGTCAGCAACACCACCGTCAGCAACACCACCGTCAGCAACACCACCGTCAGCAACACCACCGTCAGCACATGGAATATAATAACTAGTTTTAACAATGTTTATTAAATACTGTGATGGTCATTGTTCTTTCACTACCACTGCTACAACAACTACATCTACAACAACTACAACCATTTTACACCAGTCCCCACCACCATCCTTAGGGACTCACCCTATACTTAGCCACCTCCAGGGACGACTCAGACGACACGTACGACGACCCACAACACGACCCCTCGAAGGGTGACCTCTCACCACTCCTGCCACTACGACTTGAAGGCCTATGGGAGGGAACGACCTATTAAAACACTATACAAATGTCAGTGATAAATACTTTAATGTGAACAAATTAAAAAGAAAAGAATATATCAGTTATACCTCAATTAAACTTATTTATAAATACGGGAAACTATTATTTATGTTAATAGAGAATTTTTATGGTATATTATTTATTTTTTAAATAATTTTTCAATAATTTTCTAATAATTTATTAGAATTTATAAATACCAATTTATTGTTTTTGTTATTAAAGCAAATTGTGGCGTTTTGAGTTTAAATAAATGATAAATGTGATTACCTGATACTGAGGATAGAGAGAGATCTCTCTAACACCAGGTCCCTCACATGCAAACTGCACTCACACCTGTAATGAAGCACAGGTACAGCCAGGTCAGCAGCCAGGTCAGCAGCCAGGTACAGCAGCCAGGTACAGCAGCCAGGTACAGCCAGATACAGCAGTCAGATGCAGCAGCCAGGTATAACCAGGTAGAGCCAGAAACAGCCAGGTACAGCAGCCAGGTACAACCAGAAACAGCCAAGTATATCCAGGTAGAGTCAGGTATAGCCAGAAACAGCCAGGTATATCCAGGTAGAGTCAGGTACAGCCAGGAACAGCCAGGGGAGCAGCCAGGAACGATCAGGTTCATCCAGGTACAACCAGGAACAGTCAGTTACAGCCAGATACAGCCAGGTAAAGCCAGGTACATCCAGGTTCAGCCAGGAACAGCCAGGAACAGCCAGGTACATCCAGGTACAGTCAGGTAAAGAGAAGGTATAGCCAGCTACAGCCAGGTAGTGTTAATTATAGTCACATACAGCCAGTACTGCTCGTACTAACAACAACAACTACTGTCACTACTACTACTATTACTACTACTACTACTACTACTACTACTACTACTACTACTACTACTGCTACTACTACTACTTATTTAAGAAAGAAGGAACACTGCAGCAGGTTTAGGGGTGATAAACCACACATAAAATGCCAGCATTTACAAAGGTCCCTGGACCCATGTGACCAGTGTAAACACTGCACCACTGGAAGACTGACAGTGATCATCATCTACTTTTTAAGAGGAATTGATGGCCATAACGTTGATGGAAATTAATAACACACTTGGATCATCTTCACAGATATATATATGACATATATTAGAAAAGTATATATGTAGATTACAGGTATATTTGGTTAAATATGTTGGGGCTAAATTGTTGGAGAAACTAGAGGTGTTAGACGGGGAAGAGTTGGTTAATACATCTTAGAAATTATGTTAAAGCTGATTAAAGCTCTGCTCACAGCTCTCTGTGGAGCTTCAAAACGGTCCTGACAGGTGTTACAACAGCCTTGACAAGCACAACAGTCTTGAGAGGTATAACAGTCTTGACAGTTATGACCGCTTTGATAAGCACAACAGTCTTGAGAGGTATAATAGCCTTGACAGCTGTTATCACAGCCTTGTCAGCTGTTATAACAGCGTTGACAACAGTTATAACAGTCTTGGCAGGTATAACAGCCTTGACAGCTGTTATAACAGCCCTGACAGATGATATAACAGCTCGTTGGTGAAGCAGATGGGGCACTGAGGGATTGGACATGACAGCTGGTGACTGTCAGTCAAACTGTCGGTCAGTTTGACAGCTTAATGACCAAGAAACATAATTAGTTTATAGTCTGACAGCCGGATGCAGCACCTGGGTACCTAATTACTATCAGGGTACCTAATTGCTACTAGGGTATCTGATTACTACCAGGACACCTGATTATTACCAGGGTACCTGATTACCAGGGGTATCTGATTACTATCAGGGGTACCTGATTACTGCCAGGGGTACCTGATTAATATGAGGGGTACCTGATTAATATAAGGAGCACCTAACAGTGCGTGTTGACACCTGAGGAATGTGTCAGAGATGATGGGTGAGGGAGGTTTCAGGGGTGAGGGAGGTGTCAGGGATGAAAGAGGTATCAGGGGTGAAGGAGGTATCAGGGGTGAGGGTGGTATCAGGGGTGAGGGTGGTATTAGGGGTGAGGAGGCAATCACTGTGCACTCACGTGTTCCATAGCTATGGTTGTCAGCACACAGGAAGGTTGGGCAAGGTGAGTGTGGGCGAGTGGGGTCAACCACTCATGTTTTATAAGGGGAAGTAGGTGAGACGGAGGGAGGGAGATGGTGAGACAAAACTCTGTAGGTGAGAGACATAAGGAGAGAGATAGCGAGACAAAACTCTGGGTTTCTTCAGATGTGCTGCTGGTTTGAGTTGCAACTGGTGGAGTAAGTTATTTGTTCTCCTATTAATTTGTTGATAGCCTGGAGGCTGTCAGTGTTTATGTGTGTGTTGATGACTTGCGGTGGGCATCAGTAGTGTTGTGTTGAGTGTATGTGTGTTGCATTCACTTGTGTTCCAGTATCTTGGTGTTGCGTCTAGTTTTTCTAGTGTAGGACTTGTCATAGCTTGAGTACATGGTCTTGTAGACACTTGTTATTGTGTTGTATTGTGTGTGTGTACACGGGGTGCTGACGATGGTGTGTGTACACGGGGTGCTGACGATGGTGTGTGTACACGGGGTGCTGACGATGGTGTGTGTACACGGGGTGCTGACGATGGTGGGTGTACACGGGGTGCTGACGATGGTGGGTGTACACGGGGTGCTGACGATGGTGGGTGTACACGGGGTGCTAAGTAGGATAAGGTGTCTTGAGACGTCCTGGTGACGTATCTAAGTAGGATGAGGCGTCTTGAGACGTCCTAGTGACGTATCTAAGTAGGATGAGGCGTGTACAGACGTCTTGGCGACGCCACTTCCCACCCACGTAACTGCTTCATTTAACTACTGAACCACCCACTTACCACCTATACAGTGACATACATCCTCTCCTCTCCTACAACATCTTCAGTAACCGAAACATCGTCGGGAGAGAAACTCTGCAAACTGCGTGTTCCTTCGCCCTGCTTATAGCTAAATGATTGGCCAGTCAAGCTAGGGAGAACATTGATTAGGATGGTTGATGATGTGAAATGGATGGGAGTGTGGGAGAATGAGGACAGCGGCAAGTTGAACCCCACACACACATACACACACACCCACACACACACACACACAACCCCCCCACACACACAAACAAACACACACACACTCACACACACATACAGCACTAACCTGCTCGTTATCGTGTGCACGCTCAGATTACTAGCTGTCAGCCTGTATAAAGAACAGGGAGAACACTGTTAAAGTTGTCTTTGAGGGACCTGACTAGTACAGGTAACCTCGTTAACAGGTACAGAACAGGTTCTTAAGATAATTGCAACAAGTATACCTGTTTGCCATATGTGTAATTCGTAGCAACAGTAATGTCTACACCATTGTCAGTACTGTCAGCACCACTGTCAATATTATCAGCACCACTGTCAACCCCACTGTCAGTATTGTACACACCACTGTCAGTATTGTTTATATCAGCGTCATTACTGTCAACACCACTGTCAGTACCGTTAACACCAATGTCAGTACTGTCAACGCCACTGTCAGTACCGTTAACACCAATGTCAGTACTGTCAACGCCACTGTCAGTACCGTTAACACCAATGTCGGTACTGTCAACACCACTGCCAGTACCATCAGCACCACTGTCAGTACTATCCACATGACTGTCAGTACCGTCAACACCACTGTCAGCACCGCTGTCAGCACTCTCAGCAGCAATAGCCACACCATCAACAACATCAATCATAAAAGTAGGCCCTGGAATTAGACAGAAAAAACTAAAGTGTTTGAGTGCAACATATACATCTTATGCAAGTTAGAGGAGGTGGTGGAGGTTGAACCTAGAGGCACTGGTTCAACAGGCACTGGAGAGGTTCAACATGCAAGACTAGGTTCAATATCTTTCTTAATAAATTGCTAAACACATTTACAGCTGAACAGAGACTCGGTTGTGCGACTTTCAACAATCTCGAGGTCTTATTTTAGCTGAGGAACAAAAATGGAACAATAAGGTGATTGGTACAATACACAAATAACTTGTACATGTGAGAGAGGACCTGACCTCGACGTTTCGGTCCCTCTTGGAGTATTTACAAGTAACATTGAAAGAAGAGAGTCAAGGTGACAGTATATGAAGGTGAGGAGGGGACGGACGGGGGAAAGAGAGGAGGGAATGCTGGTAGTGGTAGTAGTGGTGGTAGTAGTAGCGGTAGTAGTGGTGTGTAGTATAGTGGTAGTAGTGTGGTGGTAGTAGTGGTGGTAGTAGTGTAGTAGTGGGGTGTAGTAGAGTGTGGTGTATAGTGAGTGTGGTAGTAGTGGTGGTAGTAGTGGTGGTAGTAGTGGGTGTAGTAGTGGTAGTTGGTGGTAGTAGTAGTGGTTGTAGTATGGTTGTAGTGGTGTGTGTGGTTAGTAGTGGTGGTAGTAGTAGTGGTAGTAGTAGGTGGTAGTAGTTGGTAGTAGATGGTGGTAGTGTGGTGGTAGTAGTGGTGGTAGTAGTGTGGTTGGTAGTGAGTAGTGTGGTGGTAGTAGTGGTGGTAGTAGTGGTGGTAGTAGTGGTGTGTAGTGGTAGTAGTAGTGGTGGTGTAGTAGTGGTAGTAGTGGTGGTGTAGTAGTGGTGGATGTAGTGGTGGTAGTAGTAGTGTGGTAGTAGTGGTGTAGTAGTTTGGTGGTAGTAGTGGTGGTAGTAGTGGTGGTAGTAGTAGTAGTGGTAGTAGTGGTGTGTAGTAGTAGTGGTAGTAGTGGTGGTTGTAGTGTGTGGTAGTAGTAGGTGGTAGTAGTGTGGTGGTAGTAGTGGTGGTAGTAGGTAGTTGGTGGTAGTAGTGGTGGTAGTTAGTGGTGGTAGTAGTAGTGGTAGTAGTGGTGGTAGTAGTGGTGGTAGTAGTGGTGGTAGTAGTAGGTGGTAGTAGTGGTGGTAGTAGTAGTGGTAGTAGTGGTGGTAGTAGTGGTGGTGTAGTGGAGTAGTGGTGGTAGTAGTGGTGGTAGTAGTGGTGGTAGTAGTAGTGGTAGTAGTGGTGGTAGTAGTGGTGGTAGTAGTGGTGGTAGTAGCAGTGGTTGTGGTGGTAGTTGTGGTGATGATGGCGGTGGTTGTGGTGCTAGTTGTGGTGGCGGAGGTGGTGGTGATAGTTGTGGTGGTGGTGTGGATGGGTTGTGGTGCTAGTTGTAGTGGCTGTGGTGGTTGTGGTAGTAGTTGTGGTGATGATGGCGGTGGTTGTGGTGCTAGTTGTGGTGGCGAAGGTGGTGGTGATAGTTGTGGTGGTGGTGTGTGGTGTTGGGTGCTAGTTGTAGTGGCTGTGGTGGTTGTGGTAGTAGTTGTGGTGATGATGGCGGTGGTTGTGGTGCTAGTTGTGGTGGTAATGGTGATTATGGTGCTAGTGGTG